TTTACTCGTGACGTATCAAGTTTTATTTAGATTTGTGGAATTTGTAAATTGACTTAAACCATAACAACTCGAGGTCCTATATAAACGATACAATTTGAGTTATCTAATGTAAAAGGATTGATTATAAAAAAATATTTTATTTATTATAATATGGATGAACCAATTCAAATAAAATCATCACATCAATATAAAATTAAGCATAAACAATTCAAAACATGACTTGCTTACTTTCTAACTTGAAATTGAACACCAAATCAATCAACAAAAGCTTCACTTTAGTTGGTTTAGCTTTAATTTTGTTATATCATGTTAATATGATATGATTTCAAATCATATTTGACTTTAAAGGAAATCATAGTGTGCCCACCAAGCAAAAGTAAATAATATAGTATTAACATATGGTAGAAATGGTATATTTGATCTTCATATAAATATTTAATTCTTTCTTACTTTGATAAGGGGAATAACTTTTAGTGCTCTTTGATTGCAAGTACTCAAAATTCATGAGAGTTTTAAATGATTTATAAAATTAAATTAATATATTGAAAATTCATGAGATTATTTTTTAATATTTGATTGAAATTGATTACAAATAATTTTTTTTTTCAAGAAAAAAAAAGGATATATTAATAAGTATGAACAATACACCATAAGACCAAATAATGACCACATAGATTAAAATTAAAGCAAAAAAAAAAAAAACAATAAACGATCGGGCCAAACACTCTAAACGAAATCAAATTAAAAATCCCCCAGCCAATTGGACTCAGACTGCCCCTAGTTGCCAAGTTTAAGACCATCCAAGGAGGAAAATAAAAATGGCCAAAAGACTAAAGAACCACCTAGGTTGCCAACCAAGCCATGACCGTCCAAGGGGATTGCAGGAAACCCGCTTCATCATTGTCCTAATCAAAAAACAATGCCGCAATAGAACCAAATTCAAGATTAAAAAGCAAACCAAAACATAAAGACTCCAAAAAGAAAAGTTTTTTTCTTTTTGGGTTTGTGTTTACTGTGCTTAACATTATTTTTGAAAAAACCAACATCCGCAACTTGGAGAAGACTTAAATCAAAATTGTCCTAAGTGACCAATTCTAATTCCTAAATTTCCTCCCCTTCAGCTAAAGAAATGCCCTCCTCTAACCAATCACATTGGCACCGAACATTATCCTTCGCTAGGTGGGCTAACATACCAGCATTGCAAATAAAAGAAATGGGCACATCAACTAAGGGCTCCAAAGTAGCAATAAGAGAATTCTGGAGCTCAGACTTCCCATCTGAACCCCCAGCCTCCTCAGAACATAAGGAAACATAATCATCACCCAACACGTCCTCATCCTTATAACTAGTAGGACTAGCTATCAAGTTCATGCAACAGTTAATATATTCAAAGACTCACAAACAAGAGAAGAGGGCTCCACATCTTCCCAACCGAAATGGAGACATTCAAGATAGAGTAGCCCACAGGTACCATAACCCCATCCAAAACATGAGACAGAGTGTCCAAATCATCCAAAGCACCTGCAAAAGCCATAGGTGCATCACCCATTTCAGGCACCACCACACAACCTATCTCAGAAACAGGCCGATATGCCTGACCATCAGTACAATTCAATTTTGAAGCATTAGGCAAATTAGAACCAATATTAATTACTTCATCGACAGAATTAGAAACAAAAGTGTCAACACCAGCAACATTCCCGTCATCACCAATAGTGGGACACCATTTTAAAGCCCCTTCATTGGTATCACAAGAAATAATATTTTCCACCCTATCACCCTCACAGCTAACATTAACAGTCAACAGTTTAGAGACTACAAGAACAACATTAGGCGGGGTAAACTTAAGAGGCCGACAATTTCCACTCAAATGCCCTATACATTTACAAGAAGCACAAAAGTCTGGGAAAGCTTCCATCGAAATATGTTGAATATATCATAGATTCTCAGGACCTAACCAGACTTTATAAGGATATGATTTCGTGTTGTCAAGCTCAACCAGCACACGTGCTGTAGACAGTCAAGAACCCACGGAAGTAGCATTATCAGCCTTCAATAGCCAACCAAAAATCGAACCAAAAAGGATAAGGGGGGAGAACAAATGAGGCCGGAGATTGGGGAAAGAAACCCAGATAGGGATTACAGACGACTCAACACCAACATCAACAAGTGGAGATCATTTGGTCAGCTTCATATAGCAATTATGAACTAAGTAAGAACGATGATGAAAAATCCTACAACAATCAAGGTCATTATTCAACTTGATCAAAATATGTTACTGATCAAGCAAGTAACAGAAACATCACCAGTGAGCTTAAGGATAAAAAAAACCTATGAATTGATTCCATAGAAGGCCGCTTAGAAGGGAAAAACCAATTAAGGAAAATTGAAAAGGAATCGCAAGGTCATTGATTTCTTCATCCAAAATCCAGAGCGATGACAAACCACGAAAAGAAGAAGGTTTTAGATTAGGAAATCTACCATCGGAGGAGCTCCTAGCAAGAGCGTCGAGAAAAGACTGAGATTTAAACAAACCATCTAAAAAATCAGGATCGCATAAACGTTTCCCCTCCATTCCGGCAAAAGAGGTCAGAGGACCCGAAACGAAACCAAAATGAAAAACAAAAATAACACAAAGAAGAAGAAAAGGGAAGAGAAGACTTCCTTGGGAAAAGGAGATCGATGAACCGAGCGCTCTCTCCAGACGGGCGAGGAGTGTCGAGATCGCCCAGGTGAAAACCCTAGCAGCCAAGAGGAGTGAGTAGCTTGAATATTTATGTGAAATGTTTTGGCTATTTAATCTGATTACAAATAATCTAAATATAAGAAAATTGAACTTAGGGCTTTCACAAGGGGAGAACATCGTAACGTTTAGGAGTGTGGGTCTTCATTTTTGTAAGGGAGGCATTATCAGAAAGGTGCAAGGTAAAGTAGTGTGAGGGTAGAAGATTGCTATCCTCATTTGTGAAGGGCGATGAAATTGTTATATTATATCATTTGATAATTAGCGGTAGGACAAAGGCAGACGAACTTTAATGATAATTTGATGATAGCAACTGAACGATGACAAATAGGTGTTGACAGTCAGATGATGACGGTTGGGCAATTACAATCAATCAATGACAATTAGATGACAGTATATGGACTACAACGATTATGCTATGATGGTTACGTTGGAATTTGTTAGGGGCAGATCCAACTTCTTTTTTCAGGGTGAGCAAAAAAATAAAAACTTTCCATCATTTGTTGACAGTGATCATCAACGTTAAATGTCAAAAATCTAGGTCCCTTTCATTTAAAGAATATGCATCTTTTTGTAATTATTGACTATGACATTTTAGTAAAGTTGTCCAAAACCTCAAAACACTTCATCGAAAAACTCACATTGATTCATTTGATCATGATTAATCTTTCAGCATTTAACTACCTTAATGATGTTTGAATTGAATGATCTTACTCTTGGATACCTCTTGTCCAACTTCTCGTTTAACAATAAAACAAACCTTTCCAAATAAACTAGTCCAAAGAAAGTAAAAAGTACTATTTAATTTTGATTAGAGACGAGAGAAAAGACAATAGGGGAATATTTAATTTTGATCTTTTCAATGTCCTTTTTAGCTGATAAAAACTTGTATGTTATCCCCGCTTGGATAATCAAGGATTTGGTCTTGTTAATACTCAAACGTTTAAAACTAATAAAAATTTCGTACCGCCGGCAATCTTTCCATGCCGTGACGAATGCAAAGACTAATCACTCTATTAAAAAAATAAACTTGATTATCATTTTAGTTAACTACTTTTCATTTTTAATAAATGATACGTCATCATAAAATAATATTAGAATATTTTTTATGAAATATGATTACTTTTTTTTTGTTAATTCCAAATACCATTCTCCTTAATTCATTAGTGCTTACGGTTTAATTTGTATTGTTGCATACTAGAACATTTATGATGATAAAAATAAAGAGTTTGTTGTCTCAACATCTGTGCAAAGATCCAACACATACACTGGTAAGAAAGGAGTGCAAGATTTGTAAGGGATGGTGAAGTTTTTATGTGATCCTAACAAACATTAAAAGGAGGCATGAAGAGATTGACTGATATAATATGATACGCAGACGAGCAAGAAATGACTACTTACATAAAAGATGCTTGACTTGTGAATTAATGGAATGTACTTCGGCATTTTGGATACAAGAACAAGAATTGGTAGTCGCGCTTACAATGGTACTCTTATATTTTGGATTATAAATTAATGGAATGCAATAATTGAATAAATAGAAAATTATATATGTATAAATATATATAGTAATAGATTTAGTAGGGTGGTTGTGATTTTGGACGATCTAGTTCTTTAAAAGAGAATACATTTTAGATGTCTCGGGTCTATTGTTCAAAGTGATGGTGAAATAGATGAGAATATTTTTAACATAATTCAAGTTAGATAATTGAAGTGGAGGAATACATTGCGCCTCTTGTGTGATAGAACAATACACCTCAATTTTAACAAAAAAATTCTATAAGATGGTGGTAGGGCCTATAATATTTTATGACACAGAATGTTGGCCATTAAAAGAGAGACATAAAATTAAGTTTTGAAGAAATAAGGACACTAAGGTGAATGAATAGTTTTACTCTTAGAGATATAATGCAAAACAAATATAAAAGTAAAAAAAGTTAACTCCAACTACAAATAAGATTAGATAGTTGTCTACGATTGTTTGGTCACATAAATTGTTATCTTTTTGATGACCCGGTTAGGAGAGCAGATCTATTAGGTATGGTCTGCGTTAAAAAAGTAGAGGTAGATCTAAATATATTTGGTTATAAAGTATTAAAAATGATAGTTTTTATTAGATTTAAATGAGAATTCGACTTTTAATAGTACTCAACGGAGAAAAAAATTCATATAATCCAGGATAAATGATTATTGTTGTTGCTGCTGTAAATATATATAATATTTTGGATGGCAAATTAATAGATTGTGGTAATTGACTAAATAAAAAAATTTTGGCCGGTAAATTCATAAACTTGAAACATATAAATCCTCTAAAGGACTTTTTTTATTTACAAACAATAAAATGAGTAGTTAAGGCCTTTCGTAATTTACAAGTACAACATTAGCCATAATTGCAGTTTTTTTTTTTTCGAATGACTGCAACAAATCCGAAAATGAAATTGGAGGCCAAATATCGTCACCACGCCTTACCCAAATCCACAAGCTTCCTCGATCGATTCAGCCCTTGACCGGAGGATGCGTCAGGAACGGCTACTGCGACACCGCTCCACTTGCGATTTAATGTTCCCTGTAGATCGCCGGCGAATACCGTCTCCGATGCACCATGGTTCCGGCGATTTCCGGGGCTTGGTCTCAACATCGGACTCAGGCAGACCGCATAGCTAGATAACTTGTTGGGGCTCTGTGGCCGTTGGGCTTTCCGCTTCAACGGCGAAGGCGTGGAGATACGACGCTCATCCTTATCCGTCTCGTCCTTCATCGCAGGCGACATTCCCCTTCCGTCCACCGGCTGCACGTGTGGCTTCCTCGACCTTCCACGGGAAACATCCTCCGCCGCCGGCGCGATGTGTGGCGATTTCTTCTTATTCTTCTTCCACTGCCCTAAAATAAGGGCTAAGAAACTTGAATTAGAACCCGAGGATTTGAGAACAATAGCATCGGATTCCGCCTTCTTGGGGCTCGAATTTTTGGAAAACTTCACAGCGCGGCGCTTCGGTCGTTCGTCGGAGACATTAGGGAAATCAGATCGAGAGCTGAGAATCGCCCGTGACGGCTTGGCTTTGTTTTCTGCCGGAGCGACGGTGAGAGCGGAGAGGCGTTCTCGAAGGCAACAGGGGCAAACGCCAGCGCCGTGATCGGAAGGGTGAGTTCTGCACCTCATCGCTTCCTTCCTTCCGTCATGAAAAGAGCTTGAATTCAAGAATTAGGGTTTTGCGAGACGATTTTGGGGCGAAGAATTGGGAAGAGATGGGACGATAATGGAAACCTTTTTAGCTAATTTTATAGATTATTGGAGGAGAAGACGACGCGGGGGCGACGATCGGTTGATTCTGTTACGGATATTTAAACGATATTTCAGGCACGTAGGAAGGAGTGGTTGGGAGATCTCGTCATTGGCCCGCGTTTTGGAACGCGACTTACAATTTTGTTAATTGAAAAATACTGAAATATCATTAGTAAATTTTCTTCCATTTATATCTAATTTTTTTATCTAAAAATGTGTTAATAAATTTCTGTATTTACGTCATGATCAAATTGTTTAATTGAGTTGAAATTTCGTTGGATCATGAGAATTTTTTGTGATATTATTGATTCATTTCATAAAATTTCATTTGATCTATATGAATTTTAATGTATTATTTATATTTAAAATTTCAAAATTAAATTCAGATTCATTTGATTTTTGCAAATTTATAGGCAAAGTAAGCGTCTTGATAAAAAAAACCCAATGATAGCAAAGGAGTGTTGATCCGAATCCAGATGAGCTCAAATCAAAGCATTTGGGGTGAAGCTTAAAATTTTGGAGCATTAATTAAATGATCAAATAATCTCTAAAATTTGCATGTTTATAATCAAATCGATCAGCTCGACAAGAAGAATCCGATAAGCCTAAGATTACTCGAGTCTGATGTAATTAAATGATAGCTATGCGGTATATGATCAAATGATTTGACATGAGTTGTCCCATTAAATGTTATAAAATTTTGGTCAAATTTAAAAAATGCTACTTTTAAAATACTATAAATGGACATTCATCCTCTACATGAAGGAGAATGCGACTTGAATTTGAAACGGGCTTGGATATCTAAAGGACTTTAAAACTTAGCATTCAATGTGACAATCAACGTCAACCACCGCTATTGCCTAAAAATCATTGTCTGACTTCTATTGCTTGACTGGCGTTATCTAATCATTGTCTCTCAATTTTCATTATGTAACCATCATCACCCAACTATCACAATCCATTCATTATCTACAAAGTGCTATTATCTAATTGATGTCTCTTGACTATCATCGCCAACAGTTATCACCACTTCACCATCATCCAATTATTGTCGCCTAATTAGTACCATCAAATTACTGCTTATTCAACATTCTCTCTCATATTCACAAAATTATTAAATTATATTGCATGTTTTGTAATCACACCTTCTCCGATTTGAACTCTAGTGACATATCTATATTAATGAATCATTTCATTTGAGCCAGACCCTTTATTTTTTCCCTTTCTAGATTTTTGATATAAAAAGTCTATATACTCACAAATTTTCTAGCACTCAATAATTATATTATTATTGTTGTTATTGCGTCCTGGAGTATTCGCGGCGGTAAAGAAATATAAAATTTAGCGTCTTAATATTGTACGAAAATTCGATACGCAATCATATAAAAACCCAACAACTGGCATAAGTTAGACGTCAGGTAGAAATCTGGTGACGAGCGGAGGTTAGGCGTCGTGTAGAAGTCCTACGTCAGTCGGTGACCGGGGAGAACTCCGACGTTAGATGGTATTCGGACAAAACTCCAGAGTCATTTGGAGATCAGACAGAATTCCAGCGTTACTTCGAGACTGGGCGGAGTTTCGTCGTCACTTTAAAGTTGAACGGAACTCCGGTGTCTCGTGGAAGTCGGGAAGGATTCCAGCGTCTCGTGGAAGTCGGGCAGAATCATGGCATCCCGTGGAAGTCGAGCATAATTCCGGCGTCCTGTGGAAGTCCGGCGTCCCATGTAAGTCGGGTAGAATTCCGACGATAATCGAGGAGTTTCTTCCCTCATACTCTTCTCTTCTTCTTCTTCTTCTTCTTCTTCTTCCTTGGGTCCCCTCTCAAGGGAAATGAGTGGCTATTTATAGTTTTTTGAGAATGACATGACCCGTAAATAGGAGGATGATCAAGGGCAAATGTGTAGTGGTTCGAATGGACGACTGATATTGAATCCCTTGATCATGGGCCGTTTGTCAGACATTTGAAGGTCTTAATGATATCGGAATTCGATGATCTTGGGCTCGTTGGATTTGACTCGTCGAGCCGCTCGATTTAACTATAATCATGTAATGTTTAGAAACCGTTTGGTAATCCAAATTATGGTTTGAACCTTCCAACAGCCCTCAGGGTTTTCAATTCTGACTCATTTGGGCTCAAATCGAGTTGAATTTGGTGTCGTTGGGTTCATATTTCTGAGACGCTCAGTTTAATTGTAAGTTTGCTGAAATTGGAATTCAGATGGTCCTAGATTTAATTTTTGAAGTTTCCGGCTTGATTTTGCCTCGAGATTCATGCATGATGAAGACATTTTTTATGACATATCAATTATGATTAAAGCTAGTTGAATGTATGAGGTGTAAGTAGACAACCCAATTTGTGAGCTGACTCAAACTTGTCTCGTTAATGAGCTCAAGCTTAGATTGCAGCTCGTAAAATATATGAACTTGAGTTCAAGCTTGATACAAATCAATTTATTAGCTTGCAAGCCCATTCGATTAGCTTGCAAGCCCAATCGATTAAATCCTGACTATTGATTAAATCATAATCTCATTAACCTTACATCATGTGGTTTCAAGCCTAGGTCTCAAATCACAATCTCAGTAACTCCTTTTTTTAGTCAAGCATGTGTGTTGTCATTACAAATTATGTTTTTCAGCGACCTGCCATTAGGACTGTCAAAATCGGGCCACGGGTCAAACCCAGAATTGACCCGACGCTATTTGACCAGACTCAAACCCAACCCATTTTTGCAAACGGGACAGCTTTTCAAACCAGAACCCGACCCTCTTTAGGTTCGGGTCGCGCGCTTATTCAGCCAAAACCAATAAATCGGTCCTCCATTCACTCGCTTATTTAGCCAAATCCTATAAATTTGCCCTCCGTTCGTACGCTTATTCAACCAAATCTTGTAAATATGCTCTCCGGCCAGGCAGCGACAAATGCGACAGCGGGCGAATGGTGACAAGACATTGGGGCGACGCGTACAAACTCGCTAGCAGGCAACATGACACCGAGTAGGCGCGTTAGCGAGCAATGCGACAGCGGGCATGCCTTCTTTCTGAGTCATTCCCTTGTGTCTAGGTCAACCCGAACCCGACCCAATTTTTGAAATGGGTCGGTTTGTTGAACCCAAACCCGATCCGTTTAACAAACGGGTTGACCCTAACCTAAAATTTTTGGATCGAGTTAGAGTCTGATTTTCGGAACATGTCAAATATTGACATCCCTACCTGCTATCATCGTCAATGCCAACTCCAATAAGATATGATTACAATGCCTTAAGACCTACCGCCATCATCAGCACAATCTCCAGCAAGCTCTCATCACAATGCCTTCTTTACTGACCTACTATTGCCATTGATGTTATATCGAACAAAGCTTCGTTACAATTTCAAAATTTTGGGGGAGTTCAAGTTCTATATATAAGCTCGACTCGAGCTCAAGGGCCATTGATTTGGCGAGTTGAACTCGAGTTTGCTATGGCTATGGCAGGAACTCGACTCGAGAGCTGTATATTTTTTTTTAAATAAATAATTTTTAAAATTTTTCATTTCTAACCCTGTATGTATAAATATGTGGCCAAGGCCGGCAAATTCCTGAATTGCACAAAGCCGTTAAAGATTGCATGTCCAAAAGTTTTCTGTGTGATGAGATAGATACTCGTTGACTGAAAACATCGATAATTTTCATTTTAAAAGTAAGTGGCTTAGTTTCCGTTAGACGGTTTTGATTTTCTTTCGCTTTTGTTTTAATTTTTTTTGTCCGGATTTATCGTAAGCCCGAACTCTCCAGATCGTTTGTTAAGTAGAAATTATATTTATTATATAAAATTATTTTAACGAATATGATTGAAAAATTATTATATTATTCGGATAATATAATAAATAAATTAATAATATATATATAGAATATGTTTTCGAAATAATTATTTGATTAGTAAAAATAGTATCATATTTAAAGTTAAATTAATAATTAAAATCTAATACAATTTTAATTTTTTTAAAATAATTAAAATTAATTTTTAATAATTACTAGGCATAATTCTTTTCAATTCAATTATTTCTATTAATTAGAGATAGAATTATTTCGTTAATTAGTTATAGATATAACGTCTATTAAAGATTTCCATTATATATTATTTGATAAAATTATTTTAATATTGGATATTGTTACGGGCTAGAATATTAGCGACGGTAAAGTAGAAAAATCTTTCGTTTTAGCATTGCATGAGTATCAAACTCACAAATAGAGAGAATAGAAACAACAAAAAAATTTATGTGAAAAACCGTGAAGGGAAAACTATGTGGCCACACACAATTGAAATGAATATACTAGTGTTTGAATATAATTCAAATAATTGACTTGTCTTTGAATTGAGGATGATTAATTAGATTATAATTATCAACCGTTAGGTTGAAATCTAGCGATGAAGAGGGGTTTGACAGAAGTCCTATGACGGCCTATGGTCGAGCATAAGTTCGACGTTAGTTTGTGGCAGGGCAGAAGTCCGATGATAATTGGTGGTTGGGCAAAAGTCCGGTGACAACTAGTGCTCGGGCGGAAGTCCGACGATAGTCAATAGATAGGCAGAAGTTCGATGATAGTCGGTGGTCAGATGGAAGTCCGGCGAAAGTTCGGAGATTGTCGGTGGTCAGGCGGTGGTCTAGGAGGATTCTGGTGGCAAGAGAATTCTGATCCCCCAATGAAGAATGAGGGATTTATTTATAATTTTTTGAAGGTGGAATAACCATTAAATAAGGAGAAGATCAAAGGCATGTTAGAAGTGTTCTGAATGGACGACCGATATCGACTCCCATGATCATGGACCGATTATCAAATATTTAGAACAACGAAGAAAGTATTATCTGTTTAAAAAAAAAGAAAGAAAATAACACAAATTCAAAATTATTAGAACAAAGTAAAAAAAGAAAATAACACAAATTCAAAATTATTAGAACAAAGAAGAAAGTATTATCTGTTTCTTTTTAAAATAAGACTTTTACACGGATTTATAAATTGTCAATTGCAGCCTATGACCATTAAATAATGATACGTCATCAAAAAAATTATATTGGTCCGGCATGAATCTCGATGCAAAATCAAATTGGAAATTTCCAAAATTAAAATTTGGACCATCCGAACTCCGATTTCAGCAAACTTACAGTCGAACTGAATG